GGAGAGGCGACTCAAACATATTAACCGACATTTAAACGACAAAGCTCGTAGTATGAACGTGGCTGTCGGACTTGCGGATACAGCAATACTAACGAGAAGAAGCAGTCGTCCGAATAGTAGTGCAAGCGGAAAAAGCACGAGAAGGGAGAGCACCATTGCTACTATTGATAAACCCAGAAACAACACCCTGAATCGCAATGAAGTGATTGAGACTGGAAGGAATCAGTCGAGTAGTTCGCGTCCAGAACCTGAAAAATCCGAGAATCGGTCGACTTCTCTACCAGCTTCTTCGGTTGTATCGAGTTGTGCGTTGTGTCATTCGTCCTCTATCGGCTACAATTTGTGCTGTCAGTTCCGAGACGTCATGCAACTCCTAGAACGCGAGCGACTAGTTGAGAATACAGCAAGAATCGAGACCAACGCAACTTCACAGAGCCACAATGACGTTAGTTCCTCTCAAGTAACCAGACGAACAGCTCGCAGTAGAGTTGGTCGCACTGCGAGATCTGATGATATAAAGACAACGAGAACAATCGAAAACACCGCTCGTCACGGACCCGAGTCAAGCGACTCAAGAACTACGACTCCGTACGCCTCGAATACCAGCACAAGCCCTCTAAATGAACGAGTGTTGCAGCTCTTCGCCAAGGAGGACGCTGCGATGGTTGATCTGATCAAATTCAAGGAGAAAGAGGCGTATCGTGCACTCTACGAACAGGCTCAAGACGACGCAACGTTGTCACCATTGGCTGCTCACTTCCGTGATCGCTTCAAGCACGTGGGCTTGTTCATGCAGATGCATAGACAGCAACAACAAGTGCAACAAGATGGCATCGGTGGCCACTTCCAGAAGCTTCACGCTGATTTGTTCCCGAATGGAAGTCGCACAATTCCTGATGAGAGTGATTACTACTCAGACTACGACTCGGACGACGACGTAGACTCTGAGACGTCTAATGATGGTCAACAGGAAGTGAATGTCCAGAGTATTGAAGTGAGAAGGGAGAGTGACGAGGACCTCGAGACGGAGCCGGAACGTTTGTTCCCGACACCACAGGAGCTGGAAAAACTCACACCGGTGGATACTAAAGCCGCTTTGACGTTGTATGTACAGAATCGACACGCGATGACGGAGATGCTCGATGGTTATGCCGAATTGGTGACGTCTCAGATGATTCCGACGCTTAAAGCCTCTCTGAGTACTCGCAATCGAGGAGCATTGATGGAGACGCTTGATTTCGTGGCTAGAGCGTCGGAGTTCGTTTGTGCTAGACGAGTGCAAGTGTTTGTTGCCAGGTTGTTGCATGCTGTGGCGGAGAGCGATGTGGGCGATTTTGCGAGTTTCGAGAAAGAGTTTGATGAATTGACGGCGGAAATGCAGGGCGCTGTCAATTTTATTAACTTTTTCTTACAGACTAGAGAGCCACGACGAAAGAACAAGAATAAATGAGGAAACATTATCATTCGAGAGAGACTCTTCACCATCAGAGATGTTAAAGCAGGTTCTTCCCCTGCCACTTCACCCACGTAGAGCTCAACAGCTCTTCCAGGTTAGTTAGTCATTCCGGTGTTGTACTTGCAGGTTGTCACCCAATCTACTCGATAGGACGTTCTGGTCAAGGATTCCGAGCTGACGCCGCAGCTTCCAGACAAATCCCTACCGCAGCGTCTTTTTGAACTCCAGGTCAGATACAACTGAAAACCACAACTCAAAACTTATTTCGCTGATAGCTGCTGGGGTCATGTAGAGACTGAATTTGATCGGCATTCAAGAAGCCAAACGTGGAACTCGATTTCAACGCATTCGAGCATCGAGTCCTCATAATGAATTCGAGGAAGTGAAGCTAGTGCTTACAAAAGATGGATCAACAATTCAAGTTAAAACGAAGACCTGCGCTGAGATAGTATCCATTCTATTGGTGAAGATCAAACGGATTAAGCTGTTTGTGACGCCATTGAACAGTTTTTCGCTTCAACTTGATGGCCTGGTAGATGGAGACGGCAATGCAGTGGAGGCTGGTGACATTTTTGTCGCCTCTAATGCTGACACGTTGAATCGCTGGATGGTAGCGCTTACGTGTGGAGTCAACGCTTTTCAGCAACACCAGGCCGCACAAGTGAATTACCCTGATGCTAAACAGGCAGATCTCGTGTGGCAGGCTGTACGTCTACGTATATTTGAGCTAGCAGGAGTTCTAGGGACGCCGACAGCGATCGATCATGTTACACGAGTCATTCCGGACCAGGATTACAAACAGTCGAAAGCTTTACGTCGGCGCGTGAACTTCCTTCAGTGTTATACTAACAGGGCATAGCATTAAAGCTCCTTGTCTACTCCAGGCCATCCCCTTGTGTTGTACTCATACAGGCGTGGATCTTTTACTCTAGTCGCCAAATACGTCTTGGTGAGCCGAAATTCCAAGTTGAACCAACGAGGTACAATTAATTAGATACATTTTACTTTACTTCAGTAAGTCTCTATTCATCTCACGTCAAAATCGTCGTCAAACATTACGCCAAGTGCCCGTTGCCATAACCAAGTAGTCGCTTTATTCCAGCGTGCCATTTCGCTATCCTCCCGCCATGTTTAACTGGATCTGGCCGCAGAAGTCCGTCAAGGGCAACGTCGTCGTCATCACTGGCGGCGCCATGGGGCTCGGGCGTCTCGTGGCGCTCCGCTTCGCCGCATTAGGTGCCATCGTCGTCATCTGGGACCTGCACTCGGATCTAGGGCGTGAACTGGTACTGGAGATCGAAGCTAGAGGTGGCAAAGCCCGATTCTTTAAAGTAGACGTGACAGACCGCGAGCAGGTCTACGCCACGGGCCAAGAGGTGCTCAAGGAGTACGAAGCCGTGGATATTCTCGTCAATAACGCCGGCATCGTCGGTGGTCGCCCCCTACTGGAGTCCTCGGACGCCATGATCGAGTGCACTATCGCAGTGAACACTACGTCGCATTTTTGGACCATCAAGGCCTTTTTGCCAATGATGAGCAAGCGGAATAAGGGCCACATCGTGTCGGTGGCCAGTGCAGCCGGTATCTTCGGGTCTCCTGGAATGGTGGACTACGGGGCCAGCAAATTTGCAGCCATTGGACTGATGTTGAGTCTGAGACAGGAGCTGCATGCTATGGGGCTCTTCGGAGTGCACACGACCATCGTGTGTCCGGGGTTTATTACGACAGGCATGTTCGAAGGGGTGAGACCTCCACCGTTCACGAGATGGTTGACGCCTGAGTTCGTGGCCGACCAGATCGTCAAGGCAGTGCGTAGGAACCAGTGGCGTGTGCTGCTACCGTCCGTACTGAGTATTATGGAGTTTGTAGCGACCATCATGCCCATGTGGTTCGTGGACTGGTTCATCCGCGTCACCAAGACGTCGCAGGCCATGAAGAACTTCAAGCAGACACGCAAACACGCACTCAAAGCGGAGTAGGTCGCATCGACTGAGCTTCATGTAAGTCAGCGTAAAAAATCTAACAATGATGGATTTTATCAAGTTGAAGTACGACCAACACTCTTGCAACCCACCTTCCTCATTTCAGTGCCCTTTTCCCCCTTTTCACTGACATGAATCAGGGTAATCGGTCGGCATAGGACGTCAAGCAGAGTCTCTCCATGGCGACCAGCGCTAGGTGGCTTCTAGGCGGCATCCGCCACGTCGTAGTGGAGGTGGAGGTTCCTCCGGGGCCTCTAGGTATCATGCTCGAGGGTGACGACCTGGATCGTCCCGTGCTCGAAGGTTTCGCGCAAGTGTCGCCCTCTGATCCGCAACGTGGAGCCGTGGAGCTCAGCGGTCGCGTGCCTGTAGGGAGTGTATTAGTGGCGGTGGACGAGCACGACTTTATGAAGTCGGACTTAAGCTTCCAGGAGGTGGGCGACGTCCTGCGTGAGACGAGTCACTTGCAACGTACACTCAAATTCCAAGTACCAGTGGACGAAGAGAAGAATGTGCCATTAAGTCAACAATTTGCACCAAGGAGAGGTCCACCGCCAAGAGAAATAGAAGAAGAAGAAGAGGAAGAAGAAGAATCGGATGAGGAGGTACAAGCGAAGCCAAAGACGGTAGCGCCGCAGCCATTGGAGACACAGGACAGTAGTTTGCCATTAAACCAACAGTATGCACCCACGAGAGGCCCTCCACCAATAGAAGAGGAGAATGTAGTGTATGAGAGTGAATCCTCTTCAGCCGAGGAGTCTTTCCAGGAGATTCACATGGCATCTGCTATGGGGAGTGATGAGAGCACGAGTTGGACGCTGACAGGATCAAATTTGGATGATTCTTCGACTCCACTGGCCAGTAGTGTGAGCTCTGCATCACCGGAGAAGGAGAATATCGAGGAGACGAACCAAAATCCATCCGAGACTACATTACCAGAGAAACGACAGTCAGATATCGAGAAACCGAAGCGACTTTCGCTTGAAATTGACACGGCCTCTGCGGCTTTACCTAAAGAATTATCCTTCGGTACAATGTCAAAGCTGGCAGAAACTCGGCATTTCGATAGCGACGACTCAAGCGATTCAGATGATACAGAAGAAGACTTCGATGCATCCAACAGAGGAGTGAGCTGGAACCCTGTCCAAGCTAAGGCTCCTGCTAGAACTATAAGCTCGTTCTCTGATCACCCAGAGGAATTATCCCCAGAGAAGCCATTGCCTGTTCCTCTCTCGATTGCATCCAATGTCTCCTCCGGCACCATCGCAGCATCACTCATGGTACAGACGAATCAGTTTGACCGCGATGACTCGGTAGAGGACGAAGATGCCGAGTTTGTGACTGCAGTTGCTCCACCAGGCCCATTGGGTCTTAACCTGGATGGTGGAGTACTGGACCACGCTGTTGTGATGGGTTTTGTCAGGTTAAACGATGGATCTCAAGGCGTCCTCGAACATAACGGAGATATCGTCCCTGGCTCAGTGATTGTGCGTATTAACGGAGAGGATGTTTCGCATGTATCACTTAAAGAAGTGGGCGTAAAGCTCAGTGCATTGAGCTCACAACCACGCACTTTAGTGTTCCGCTTGCCGCCCAAGCCACAAGAAAACCCACGCTCTAATGTACAGCCAAGTACTATACGCCGCTCGTCTCCGATGCCTCAACTGGAAGAAGATTTCGACAAACGCCGTAAATTTGAGCTGGAGCTGATCATGCATTACGACAAACAGGTTTTGTCTCGTCGCGATTGCTGGTTCTGTATCGATGCCAAGTGGATGGCTCGATGGGTAGATTTCGTGTGCCGAGGTGGACCTGAGCCTGGCCCCATTACCAACGAAAATTTACTGCACGAAAACTGGCGCGAAATGCTCGCTCATGATGTGCCTGGACGACCAGATACAGCGCGTGAAGGATTGGTACTTATGAAAGATTACCGTGTGGTGGTACCGATGGTCTGGTGTCTATTTGCTGAGCTACATGGCCTCGGTGAAGCTCCTTTGCTTGCACGGTATCTGATGGATATCCACGCGGAAGCATTGAGCGACGGAGAGGTGAATAAAATACTCGAAGTTCCACGGCCTAAAGCAGCAGTTCTGGCAAATAACCTGCTAGACAAATGCCTCGTTCGTCCTAGCAGGAAGCGCTAAGAGCCGACTTGAATGCGTAGTATGTACCTCGCCACTGCCGGTAGTTGTTTGCCACGAACTCGTTCTATTAGTCGATGGATACTGGGAATGCGATCGTCTGAGATGCATTGGGTGACGTTACATTTCTAATTCGCGATGATGAAGGTATCCGACACCGTGGTAACTTGTTTTAGTTTGTAGTTTATACTTTGCAAAGTACTGCTTCCAGCCCGAAGAAGCTCTGAAATTTAAGTAACATAATACTAGCTGCATTCCAGAGCTTATACAGTCGCTAAGAACTGTTATCGGTATCCATTTATTACAGGGAAGTTATTTTTTTTATTGTTCAGACATGCCAGGGATTTAGGCCGGATAGATAATTTACACCTAAATTCAGACCACGCCGCCACAGCCCGAGACTCGCTTTATTTGGTATGCAGTTGCATTTGGTGTATATGCTAACAGTCAGCTCGACATTGATGAAATTATGGCCAAATGCATGCCCGACCAACATCCAGGTCATGTCGGGATACGTTTCCTAAAAACATTTAATGGTGCAGGTTAGAGAGTGATAGTGTCAGGGCTGCTTCTTCGGCGGGTATCCGCCAAAGATCACACTGTTAGTACAGCCAAGCAGTTTTCAAGAATAGAGATCAGATGCTTCGACTACATGTAATTGATGTATTTGATTTTTAAGTGATGCCGTGAATTTGATACATATTTTGTAAAATAGTCACGGCAACCAGTTTCGTTGAAGAAGAAGATGAATACTGATATACGATTTTCCAAAGTTTGGAAGTTAGCATTATTACATGGGGTTAATTCAAATCACATTATTCGTCCAGGCAAACAACGGACAGTTTCTTTTTCATCAGTGGGATAGGAAATGTTTAACAGTTCTTGCAGCACTCCACGGTTAGATTGCCAGCAGACCATGTTTGTTGGAATCCCCACTATTAGTCAGAATTAAATCTGAATGCTAAGTTGCTGCTGCTATTCCAATGTTTGAAATAATATTTTGTTACATTCTTAACCCGAAATCCCCCTCCTGAACTATTTCAGATACATTAGTTCTTTCAGAAGGCAAAGATCTCTAGTAAGTGCCCACTTATGCCTTCTTTCTAGCAATTCTCGTCCCAACACTAAGATTTGGCCAGTTTAATAAATATTAAACCTATGATACATTTTTTATAATGACGGATATCTTGACTATGGATGCTCTTTACTTTTGGTGAAATCAGATTATTATTTTATTGTTTTGAAACTCAAGCTGTTCATAATTGTTAGAAACTAAAGATCTTCAGCTCTAGCTCACCGATCAGCTCTATTTGTTTTCGAAGTCATCTTTTTAGCTTCTGCCAGGCTTACTATAAACCACGGAAAAGGTCATTAAGATATACTTGGCAAATAATGCTCCCTGTGTCTGCAGGTTTTGTGTATTACACAAATATGGTCTTTCAGCGACCATCGGGAAGATTCTTACAAAAATAAGTATTACTAACAACATGGAACCCTGACATTATTATTAATAATACCCTTGAGTGACGCTGGTGCGTATGTTAGACAAATTAAAGAGGTGGATGCCTAGGTCATGGACCTCCGACATGCCACGATATGCAAAACCAGAGCGTGTGTAGTACAATTAAAATAGTTGAACCTCTTTCGACTGTCAATTCCTACCGCAGGTATCCGCTGACGTATTTGTATTTGCCTACTGTAGGTGGTGATTTTCCATCGCACAACTTGGATCCAACAGGTGATAGCACCACATGCATTCCAATCAGCAGTATAAGCCATGACTTGCGCCAGTTGAGAAAATCGCCATCCGCATTGCTGGGTACCAGCAGTTCATTCGGTGGATCAATGGTCTCCCTATGGTTTCCTTGGCTCTTTCCATGTGAGTTTCGGGGAAGCAAGGGCCTGTACATGTATTGACGAGTCGAAAAATAAAAGATTTATTAAATTAATCTGTTCTGGAACTGCAACTTGCAGAGCCAAAAACAAAGCTCTTGGTGACGTCTTTGGCCTGCCGGCACATTCACCGCTCCTACCGTACGTAGGTAAAGAAACGTACAATACATGTACAGCAAACTCTCTGGATCATGATACTGTAGATGAACTGAGATGGTTCAGCAGGACTGTACATTTTTCAGGGATCCAGTCTCGTTTTTAATATCTTGCGGTTTGACGACTTGAGGCGTGTGTAGCGGAGACTTTTCAAATCGCGATGTGCACGTTTCGGCATATGGATTGCAGCGATAAAGCGAAAGCTCGCCATACGAAAGCTCGTGCTGTCACACGAAGAGGCAACAGAGGATAATAGAACAGCTGGATAAGTGCAACACCGTGATCCATTTGCCACCACGAAGAACTCCGCTGTCCGACGTCCATGAACCAACACAATTGAGCTTCGAGCTCCAGCTCTCATTTCCGGTTTTGCTTTCGAACAACGACATCAACAACCACATCGATTAGTCGATCTTTTCCATCACCACAATGAAGACCTTCGCCGC